GTGGAGGAAATTTCTCACGAAATTTCACGGGGAAAAAAATGCCTCCATCCCCGACCCATGGGGAAGAATATTCTTGGAATCTCCATTCCCATGACAGGGATCTCCGTGAATCTCCACAAGTCGTGAAAGAAATTGCCATCGCTAAATGCGTTGCGATGCTTTTCAATGCCTTCCACCGAAGCGAAGTCCATTACCAAATTCATAAATTAACAAAGATTTCAATTTTCAAATAACACATATCCCATTTTCTAAGCAAAAGGCCTTTCGTCTAATCCGAGTGAAAAAATCAAAAAAATTATACAGTTAAGGATATAAATTTTATTATTTTTTCATTTAAAAATATCAACTTTATTCTATTTGAGAATTAATTAAATAGTAATCCTTAAATAAAAAAACATATAGTTTTTTTTTTTTTAAAGTAACAAAGTCACATTCTTACACTTGGAGGCCTAGTGATATTAAGTCACGTTTAAGTGCATCCCTCCTCTTTCAAGCAACGATTCGAATCCGATTTCTTGCAAAATTGTTAAAAAAAAAAAAACAAAGTCATATTCTTAAATAAAAAATAACGAAGTTCCTATTCTTGTTTTTTTTTTTAAAAAAAATATTGCTTTGAAAATGGGATATTTGAAATCTGTTTGTTAATTTTTGAATTAGAAATGGATTGTGCCTTTTTGAAGCGAAGACATTGGTATTTCACAAGGTAAATTTCTGTCTGCCATGAAAAACTCTGTTGAAATCTCTTTGTGAATGCTTGAATCTGACTGCTATTTTGAATTATCACAAATTTTGAAATATTTATTCTTTTCTTCCTCTTCCTCTTTCTTTTTTTTGGAGAAAAAAAGAGCATTGCGTTTGGTAAATTTAATCACAGTCCATTTGGCTTGATGGTCAAGGCTCAGTGGCCCTTGGTTTGCTTTTCTTTCTTGGGTCTCTTGATGATGCAAATGCACTAACCTGCCAGAAGTTTCTTCCTTTGAAAGGTTTAGGCCTTAAGTGGTCTGAAAAAAATGTAGCTTAGATAAAGATGCATCCTTAATAACGGCCAAGAGGAATTAGTCTTGAATGCATGCAAGCTGCTTCTCAAGTATGCTCTAACCATTTAAATGAAAAAAACAAAAAAACAAAAAAAGAGTAGGATTGTATAATGTGTTTTAACTTCATCTCTAATGTAAACATCCAATTTGAAAAATGAAAACCTCCAAGTTGATACTACTAATTTAAAAACCTTGATTTAAAATCAAAATCAAAACCTCAAAAGTTCAAACAGTTATCATAACTGTCAAGCAACTAGCCCTTTAATATAAAAAAAGTAAAAGAAAAATTTTTAAATAGAGATCAATTACTGCTTTTTAAAGATATAAAGTCTAGATTATCCTGCAGCAAGCCTTTTAGCAAGACCAAATACAACAGCAAATGAGAAACAGGGTAGTAACAGAACATGCTTTATTGGTTAAACTTGATCTCATTCCATCTTATGCATCTTACATTACAACCATGGGGATGGGGGATGATTGTCGGGTTGTATGGAAGACCTTATGAAGAAATGTCTTTACCAAAAAGTCCACTTATGCCCTTCCCAGGGTCATTTTGTTTAACAATGGATTCTCCAACCAAAACCTGCAATAATGCAGACAGAATGTGATTATCCCCCC